AATAACAAAATACAAAAAATTGTTCAGCAGCTAACAATTTACTTTTTTTTAAACAAAAACTAAAACTAAAGCATAACTAAATTTATTTCATAGCGTTACAAAAAAAAATCTATTGTCGCATTTAAACGATATCGAAGAAAAAACGAAGAAAGTTTCGAAACATTTGAATGTTATCATCATTCATTCATTCTATTATATAAGTTGCTAACAATAAAAAATAGTAAAATTACCATCGTTCTATTTTTAAAAACTTTTTAAACTGTTTTTAAAAACTTACAAAAAAATATATATATAGGTTTGGTTTGAATGGTAAGTTTTTTTTATTATTAATTTAATTTTAATTTGTAGTATAATTTATATACGCGATGCCGTTTTTGGTAGTTAAAATTTCAATAAAAAAGTATTTATTTTTCAACAATTGATATTGTAACACTTCAATTTATACTTCGCTTTTGTACACTTTAAGTTGTATTTAAATAAGATACGAAGAATTTTTTATTTTAAATAGTAACTAAATGAATTTCTTATGAATTAGTTTCTTATTTAGAAAACAAAAGTGTGTTAATTACTATTTTAAATAACTAAATAACAAATGAATTACTATTTATAATGAAATTACTTTTATTAGCTACAATGACCAACACGGTAAAGCGGACAGGCTCTTTAGATGACTATTTTGTCAAAAGAAGTAAAATTCTACCAATGCAGGGCCATGCTGGTCCTATCGTTTTGCCTCTATCCTCCGGGTCACTTCCGAACGATTAAATTGTGCATTTATTTGCGGGGCTGAAAATAATCAAATTACAATGAAACTCAATCCTTTTTCTCCAGAAACTGGACTTTAATATATTTAGTAACAAACTTTTCCAAAAAATTCTAATTAATCAAATAAAAAAGTGGTTTATCTGAAGAAAAAAAAGCGGAATTTTTTTTTGGCTACCCCCCTTCCTCCCTGGACAATGACCTGGATCCGCCACTGTCTTTGATAAACATTTTTTTTTCATTTTACACATTTACTTTACGATTTTGAACAACGTTTTGGAGTTAAAGACTTTTTTTTTCCTTTTCATGCAATTTTAAATAAAATTTATTTACGTGTGTGTACAGTGGAGTTGTCAAAAACGACTTTTGACTAGAAAGATTATATCCCCTGCTTATTTCATTTCTGCATAGAACACAAGTTGTTGTCTATTGAGAAAAATCATTTATTTTAAAATGTTCCAAACAAAAAATTTCATTTTAGAATGTTTACCTTTACAAAATTTTAAAATACTTGATATCGAAATACGCATTGAAGGTTTCGTTAATGAAAACATCTGTCCATAAATACAATTATCTAAGAAAATATCTGGCCGGATATTTTTTTAGATAATTCTATGATCAAAAATTATTCGGCCATTTTAAAAACATTTGGCCATATACCGAATTACCGGATGATCAAAAATTATTCGCCCAAATTTTTGATCATCCGTTAATCCTGTATATGGCCGAATATTTTAAAAATACAATCGGGGACATCCGTAATTATAACGACATTTGTTTTGCTGCAAAACAAAAGGCTTTTTAAGTTTTTTTTTTTTTTTATTTTGTTTTTTTAGTTCCAATATACTTCTATAACTTACTATTGTTAATTAAAAAAAACTCAATTTCCTGGTTTCTAAAATATTATTTACCGAAATATTCTATTTAAAAGCCTTATTTTAAAAATAGCTTAAGCATAACAGAAATAAGCAGGCACCAAATGTTTGTTCATATCGACATTTTACTATTGTCAAAAGTAGTATAGCTAACATGCCAGCTCAGTGTTGTACGGCAACACAAGTACTACGTCAGTACAGATTTAATTCGCTTATCCGCTAGGAAGCTTGGATATTTATGTCTCTAGTAAACTAAGTTATGCGTACTAGAGTTAAAAGCATTGATTTAGTTTTTTAGATTTTTTTTTGAAGGTAATTCAATGACAACAAAGAATCGATAACTCTTCGTTATTATTAAATTTTTCTATAATGCTATGATTTTTGAGGAGTTTTGTATTTTATTTAGAAATCAGTTGGTACTTTTTAAGGATTTGCCCCCTTAATTTTATTCCTAGATTTGCCCCTGCATTAAACATTGCAAATCTTAAAAACATAACGACATAATATTTTATGGACAGATTTTAGATGCCAAAGTTATATTGCTTGTTGAATTGTCAGACTATTCTATTTGCCATTTACTATTTTCTTCAGAATTTTTTTTGTTACAATGTTGACAAAATTTTACATGATCCCACACATATGATTTAGTTACTTTAAATTTTAGTTAGTGTTATTCATGTTATTTACATTATTTAATTCTTTTTCGTTAAATGACTTTTTAGATGTATATATTATGAATACCGTTATTTACTTATAAAACATTTTATTTGACACTTACGAATATCAATAAATAAATAGCTCTTTGTTACTTGGTTAATTAAACATTTTTGGTTCATGAAGCATAATTAAATCTATAATGACTTGTTTCATTAGTTTTTTTTCAGAAAATGACTCTTCTGCAAGTTACTGTTGTGAAAAAATTCTGTTCCACATAAACTTTAATTTTTTATCATAGTTTTAAAAAGTAAGTTTTTATATTGTTAGTGCTTTGTGATTCTGAAAATAACATTTAATTACAAACATTTCGGTAAATAAAAATGTTAAATTTTACATTTTTATCCATTTAGCGAATGAATTTTCATAATAGGTTTCGAAACATCGTTTAGCGAAAGCGCTCATTTTGCAAATGTTACTTCTGAAAGCGCTAATTTCATACGTAGCAAAAAAAGCTTTATTTTGAAATTCAACTTGCAAAATGCTGTTATAACGGAATGAGTGCATGCGAAATGATTATCGGTGATTTTAAATGTTTTGTTTATTTCTGCACAAAAAAATTTAATTTCTCGTTATCAATATCCTTTCAAAAGATATTTTTTTCCCCGAAACTTTACAAAACTTTCCGGCTAACAACTCTATTTAAATGTATATTTTATAAAGTATTTTTAATATTCATACCTGAGTCAAAATATAACATTTTTTAAAAATTGAGGCGATCAGAACCTGGGAACAATTTTAAATTAGTTTTTATTTATCATAATTAGTTTTTATAGTATCATAAACTCAGGTCAAAATTAAATGACAGATTAAAGGTTTTACAACATGCTTTCCATTTATGTATCACGCCAGTTTAGAATAAACCTTACTTTTGTTGTTAAAATTTTTGAAATTATTTAATTAAAAATCACATTATTTTAATGAATTTTTTAATGTTTTACTTTGCATTATTTTAAGTCGTTTTTTGTTACGTGTTGTGTTTGTAATATCGTTAATCGCGCTGAAAATTTAAATATTAATAAGTTCTTCACAATGGAAATGGCTCAAACCTAAGTCACAGTCAAAATGATGTTTGTTAATTTTTTTAAAAAACATTTAAATAAAATACAAGAAGGAACTTTAGATTTATAAGAATTTAAATACTTTGTTTGTAATATAAACTTAAATAATAGGTTTTCAACTGAAATACTTGGAGGATGTCAAACTAGTTTAGTGATTTAGGAAAAAAAGAATACTAGTTTTATCTCAACCATTTGGTTTTCTAAAGATTAAAAAAATTCATCTTACCTATATCTAACAGTTTTATCATTGTTTGTCAAATTGCTAGGAGTAGTTTAACATGGGGTTCAAATTTACAAATAAAAGAAAAAACATAAACTCAACTTTGGAGTTGTTTCCTCACCAAGGTCAAAGTTTAAAACTGGAAAAGGGTTAACACGCTCATGTATGCGCTAATTCTACCAGGATTAAAGAAAGAAAAGAAAACCTGATGGAGAAACTAGTGAAAGGTAAAAAATATTGATTATATAAATAAAATTCTAAAACAATAACATTTCTTTAAAAATGTTTTTTAAAGAATTCTTTATTGATTCACTGATTCCTGTAAGTAAAATAAACCAATTAAAAAGTTCATGCGGTCTCAGTAACATTTAAGGGGCTAAAACTTAAAGTATTTATGGTCTCAAATTATTAAAAAAGGATACGAGGAACAGATTTACTAAAGATGAGTCTTTTAAACCAATGCTTTGACGTATAATGCATTATATTAGATGAAGGATGAAAAGCAAATTGCTTACTAAAAAATATTCCAGGACTGGTAGAGAAATGTTTTCCAACTGAGGAGCATTTTGAAAGTAGGTAATTAACGGAGGAGTTTTTTACAAATAAGGATCAATAGAGGAGCAACTTTTAAAAATTGATTAGCGGAGCAACATTTTAAAATTAAAGATAAATGGTGGAGATTTTTGAAAACTTTTTTAAATATTTTAGATTGTTGCAAGATTTATAAAAAATTATGAACAAGTTTAGTTACGATGATTTGTAATTGTTTAGTTAGTTGTTTAGTTAGTTTACGATGAGTTGTACTTGTTTAGTTAGTTGTTTAGTTAGTTTACGATGAGTTGTAATTGTTTAGTTAGTTGTTTAGTTAGTTTACGATGAGTTGTAATTGTAGTTGTAATTTTTGCTCTTATGGAGGATTTTAACCGTCTAGATAAACAGATGAAAAATTACATTCCAGTCCTTTTATAAAATAAAAAATCTGAAACATTTTTTGTTAAAATCTATCTAATTTTTGAAAAGT